CTTTGGCCTAGCCATTTGACTTCTCTCTTCTCTGAATCTCTTAAAGAGGCTGAAATAATTCCTATTTGCAGTGTATATTGTAGAATTACTTGTAGTAGTACAGAATTAGAAAATATATAAATACAACTGTGCAAGAGCGAGACCCTCTCTCTGTCCAAAACAGAAAAATTAGCCAGGCCTGGTGGTGTACCTGTAGTCCCAGCTACCTGGGAGACTGAGGCAGGAGGATCACCTGAGCCCAGGAGTTTGAGGTTGCTGTGATCTAAGATGACATCACAGCACTCTAGCCCAGGTGACAGAATGAGGCTCCTCTCAAAAAAAAATAATAATAATAATAATAAAATAAAATGGTTTAGAGATTTACAGATTTTCACTTAAGGACTTTTTTTTTTTTTCTTTTTTTTGAGACAGAGTCTTGCTCTGTCACCTAGGCTAGAGTACAGTGGCACAATCATAATTCACTGTAACCTCCAATTCCTAGGCTCAAGGGATCCTCCCGCCTCAGCCTCGCATGTAGCACCACCACACCTGGCTGATTTTTGCTTTTTATTTAATTCATTAATTAATTAATTTTTGAGATAGCATCTCACTCTGTTGCCCAGGCTAGAGCGAGTGCCGTGGCATCAGCGTAGCTCACAGCAACCTCAAACTCCTGGGCTCAAGCCATCCTCCTGCCTCAGCCTCCCGAGTAGCTGGGACTACAAGCATGTGCCACCATGCCCGGCTAATTTTTTCTATATATTTTAGTTGTCCAATTAATTTCTTTCTATTTTTAGTAGAAACGGGGTCTCACTCTTGCTCAGGCTGGTTTCAAACTCCTGACCTTGAGTGATCCTCCGCCTTGGCCTCCCAGAGTGCTGGGATTACAGGTGTGAGCCACCGCACCTGGCCTGCTTTTATAATTTTTTGTAGAGATGGGGTCTTGCCATGTTGTTCAAGCTGAAGGAATTTTTAAAAATAGCGTTCTTATTATAAATGTCTCTCTGCTTCCAGGCTCTCCTCAGGGGACCGCCCTGCTCATTGCACATTGTTGTGAAACCAGACTCCAGAACTCTTTTCTTCTTGCAAAACTGAAACTGTGTCCCCATTGAACACTAACTCCCCATTTCTGTCTTCCACCAACCTCTGGCATCCACTAATCCATTTTCTGTCTCTGAGAATGACTACTCTAGAGACCTCTTATGTGTGGAATCACTTAATATTTGTACTTTTGTGACTGGCTTATTTGTCTCAGTATGTCATCAGAGTTCATCCATGTGTAGCATGGTGAGGATTTCCTTCTTTTTTAAACTGAATAATATTCCATCGTATGGGTATACTGTGTATCAGTCATCCATCATTGCACACCTGGGTTGCTTCTACCTTTTGGCTATTGTGAATAATTCTATGAACAGAAGTGTTATATTCAGTTGATAAGCATACAAGTATATATTCAGCATATAAGCATACAAGTATTGGGCCAGGGAAGAAATGACTAGTTTTAGGAGATTATGTAGGATTATTATAAGTTCAATTTTGAAATTAACTTGTTTTTATGTTCTTACCACAAAAACCTTTATTCTACTTGTATTACTTTTTAGCCTTACTAAAGATGAGGAAATTATTTTTCAAATGCCTCTTTCTAGAGAAATATGCTTCCTGTCACTTAGTGAATAAACACTGAATACACAAAGACTATTTTGCAGTGTGTAGATAACATCATAGTCATATCTCCAAATACCAAGAAAGCATAATAAGATTATAGATTTTATTTAAGAGTTAGTTTCAGCTCTCTCGATTCCAAAGATAATATGAAAAAACTAGTTACTTTTATAAGGAGGACAGTAGGGTTTTTGGTTTTTTTTGGTATATAAGAGCATAAAATAGAGGCTTAGCAGTATGTATAAAGTTGACTACACCTTTGTAAAACAAGTTATGGCATAAGCAAGAGAACTGTGGAAAGCCAGTCCAGTCCAAGCATTGGCTTCTTGGCCCTAGAAAGGGGATTTTTATGTGGCTTCTGTTTTAGGAGTTTCCTGCCCCGAGACCTCTGTTTTGTGGAGTTGGATGTCTGTGGTAGATGGATCATCAGAGGGACGGGGTCCCAGTGGTGTGAATGGGTGGTGGGGGTTGGAGGCCAGCGAGCTGTGTCACTGAGCACAGTCACACTTCATACCGAGGTCACCAGTGATGAGAAAGGGTGCTCTGAGAGAAGCCAAAGCAGTATTAGTACCCATTAGTATTGATGTGGCTGCTCCTGCCAGCTGTTCCTAACTTGCTTTTATTGAATACAAAAAAAATAGCTGCTTTTAATTTCTTTTCTTTTTTTTTTTTACTTTTTATAATTTTTTATTTTCTTTTTCCAATAAAGTGCTAGTAACCAGAATCTAAATTTACTTTCCATTGTTGTTTTTTCTTTTTACTTTTTTATTATGAACTATCTATATATAAGTATATAAGCATATATCTATATTTTAAAGAATTATAAAGCAAACACCCTTGTAACCACCACCTAGATCAAGACACGAAACATTGCAGCACCTTACCTTAGCGGTCCTCCGTGTGCCCGACCCTGATCATATCTCTATTACTTTTTTTAATAACAGCTTCATCGAGATATAATTGACTGTGGGTTTCTCCATAGTAGAGTTGCCATCTTTCCCTTTTTAGTTAAGTATCTTGGGGAAGATACTTTGAAACTTCTGCCTGGATTTTTTTTTTTTTTCATGCAAAAAAACATCAACTAAGTTTGCTGCTTTCTTTCTTTAGCTAAAGATGCTGCGTTGGCTGAGGTTAGTGAAGTAGGACGTGAAGTGTTAGATCTACTGCAGTACTTTGAGATGTAAGATGTTCTCCCAGTTTTATGTGTCTGGCATGTAGCCATCAGGGTGTAGTTTTGTGGATTACAGTTATAGAAAGGGGTTACAGCCCAGGCAAGGTGGCACACACCTGTAGTCCCAGCTGCGTAGGAGGCTGAGGTGGGAGGATTGACTGAGCCCTGGAGTTGGAGGTTACAGTGAGCTATGATTGTGCTACTGCGTTCCAGCCTGGGTGGCAGAGCAAGACCCTGTCTCTAAAAATAACAAAACCAATTTGGATTGTAAATGCACTGGGAGAAGGAGAAGGAAGAAACAGTTTATTTTCTGTTCTTATCTTAATTTGGTTTCTATACTAGTTGAAAAGATAGTTTTCCTTAATAATCATTAGACCATACCCACTGTTGATCTTCTTCCCCCTGTTATACAAATCATTGATTGATTTACTCTTTCCTTCATTCCCTCATTCATTTAATATTCTATTGAACACCTCTGGTACTCAAGGCTAATACAAATCCCCACCTGAAGGAATTGTGTAACTAGGAAACATGAACTCGTTGGAAGAGGGCTTAGGAGCAGAGGCACAGGGTATCTAACTACCTCGAGGCCTGTGCACTGAGATGGTCCAGCATAACCAGAGCGTGGAGCCCGGAGCCTGCTAGGAGGCTCCGCAAGAGATAAGGCTGTGGCGCCAGGCTAGACCAGAGCCTTGAGTGCCTTCCTGTGAGCTTCGGACTTTTATCTTGTAGGCGTGGGGAATTATTAACCGGCTTTAAACTGTGGGGGGGCCATGGTGGTCACCGAATACATATTTTGTATTTTGTTGAACTTATATGTGCAAACCTCTTAGGACCATACCTAGGAGTAGAATTGCTGAGTCATATAGCATATGCTGGAGTAGGAACTGCTAACCACTTTTCCAAAGTGCTTATACCAAATGTGTTCCCACCAGCAATGTTTAGAGTTCCCAGCACCTAGTGTTTTCCATCTTTTCCTTTTAGCCATTGTGGTGGGTATGTAGAATTAATTTTCATTTTTCCTGATGACCAATGAGGTCAGGTACCTTTTCATATATCTCTTAGCCATTTGGATTCCTTCTTTGTTAAATGTCAGTTCAAATCATTTGCCCCTTTTTCTATTAGTTTATCTGCTTTTCTTTCTGAGTAAGGAAATAGTAAGGAATATGAGTTCTTTGCCAGATAAGTTCTTTGCAAATATCTCCTCCCGGTCTCTGCTTGCCTTTTTACTCTCATAATGGTTTTTAGTTGAACACAAGTTTTAAAGATTAATGTAGTCCAATGTATCAATTTTTTTCTTATATGGTAGCACTTTTCATATGCTATTTCAGAAGTCTTTTTATTAGCAAAATCATGAAGATGCTCAGGTTTTCCCCAATTGTGTTGTTTTACCTTTCATGTTTGGGATTGTCATCCCTGTGGAACTAATTTTTTTGATATGGTGTGAAGTAGGAGCCAAGGTTTTTGTTGTTTAATTGACCAAGCACCAATTATTGAAAAGACTGTTCATTCTTCTCCCTGCTGCATTGCAGCATTGCCTTTGTCATGAAATCAAGTGACAAAGATTTGGTTTCTCCAGTAAAGAATCCTCTCATCTCCAGCCTGGGGGAATGGGAGGCGGTGGGCAGAGGCAGGTGGACAAGCTAGACTGATTGCCAGCATCCTGGGCGATTAGTAGGTCAGGGGACTGGAAGGCCTCACCAAGCCCTTCTACTTCAGCTTGCCCCTCCCTGTCCCTGGGACAGATCCCCTGGCTGGGAAGGCAGTGGGTCTCCTGGCTGCATGGAGGCTGGCAAAAGATCTAGGGGCCTAATTGCCATTCACGATGACTTTCCCAGTCTCCTCTTTCCAGCCTCCCCACACCCCACTTTTAGGAGGACCCGCTGCCCCTAATTCTTAAGCCTTCCTAGGATTCCGTGGCATGAATATGTTTCTACTGTTTGGGGTTTTGGCCTTTTCTGTTCTCCCAAATCAGTTTCTACTTGTCAATGTGTGTCTCAGCTTCTAAGTTTTTATTATCATTTCCTCGCCCATTCTCTCTGTTCTTTTGATTTTGCACTTTCCTTTTCTTTTTTAATCTCTTTACTATCATTTCAGTAGCACTTCAGAAGGGAGCAGAGATAAATACATATGTTTAATCTGTTTTTACTGGAAGGTCTCTCATAAGCCTTTAAATTCATTTTTTCAGATTTTCAAATCTGTGCAGATGGGAGCTGAGAAGCACTGTTTGAATTTAAATTTTCTGTCATTTCTCCAAACTACATCTCAAAATTTGGTAACTAATCCCATATATATCTAATATAAAATATATAAATAATTTATTGCATGAATTAGAAAGGGAATGAATAAATGATATAATTTGGCTTTCAAATTGTAGGACAAGGATTTTCCTTTGTTAAAACAATTTTAAATTTTACAAAATAATAGCTATGATGTGACCGTCTGTCATGCTCAAAAGTAATTTGCAATTACCCTGGCTTTAGATTTACCCCAAGGCTCTTAGTTGTCCCTCTTTGGCATTCACAAGTTCTTTGTGCTTTCCTTTATGTTAGCCTGAAGTTGTGCAGGAAGCTGTTGAGTGCTTCTTGCAGTGTTCAGTAAGACGTGATTATTTCACTAGGCACAAAATAACTCACTGTGAGGTCAAGCCAAATCTGACAGGAGCAAGCAGAATATTCTATTGAAACGCGAGCTTTTTAGCTTAACAGAATTTTCTTATTAATCTATATTCAGTTCCAGCTACAGTAATTGATGTTTTCTTTCAATGCCAAAAGTTCATCTAAACTGGAAGGAAACCCAATTGTGCCTAGTACAGTATTAAACAATCATGGAAGAGGATATTAGGGCATTTCTGTAGGGACAGTTTAACATGAGTTCTCTGTCTTTGGATTTAAACTATCTGCTTTGCGGCTCAGTGAGAAGCATCCTGCCCTCAGGGGCCTCCAGCAGAGCCTATGAGTCATCTCGAGCTGTAGAGAATTTGCTGCCTTTCCCACCCTTTGGCTTCCGCTAAATGCTGGTGTTCTGTGCAAGCTGAATGAGACCTTCAGCTGTTTTTTTGTTTGTTTGTTTGTTTTTGTTTTAAGCATTGTAAAGAGAGTTATGTCATTCTGGAAAGAGCAGAACTCTAGGGATTGGAAACGGATCCATGGTTGTCAGGGACTGAGCTGTGTGGAGGGGTCGAATGGAAAAGGGCCCGAGGGAATGTTAGGGGTGATGGAAATGTTCTTTATTTGGTTGTGATGGTGGTTACACAGATGTGTGTGTTTGTCAAAATTCATAGCATTGTACACTAAAAAAGGTGAATTTTACTGTATATAATTTATACCTTGGTAGACCTGACTTTAAAAAAAAAAAAAAAAGAGGCTGAGTGTGGTGGCTCCTTGCCTGTAATCCTAGCACTCCGGGAGGCCGAGGCTGGCAGATCGTTTGAGCTCAAGAGTTGGGAGACCAGCGTGAGAAAGAGCGAGAGACCCCCGTCTCTACTAAAAATAGAAAGAAATTAATTGGCCAACTAAAATATATAGAAAAAAATTAGCCAGGCATGGTGGTGCATGCCTGTAGTCCCAGCTACTCGGGAGGTGGAGGCAGGAGGATCGCTTGAGCCCAGGAGATTGAGGTTGCTGTGAGCTAGGCTGACGCCAAGGCACTCACTCTAACCTGGGCAACAGAGTGAGACTTTGTCTCAAAAAAAAAAAAAAAAAAAATGTGTCTTGGAAAGGAGTGGCTAAAGGAAATGGGATTGCGCTCTCTCAGGCCTGGTTTCCGTGTAGTAGTTCAGGGAGTCCCTGTTTGTGGACATGCCCCACTGAGAGTGGTTGACGTGTCTCCCAGAGGCTGTGTGTGGATGTGGCCGTGGGAGGGGTGGCCAGGCAGCGTCGCCTCTGCAGCCGCAGCCCTCAGCCAGAGCCGCTAATCCCGGATCTCAGCCCGCTGCCGGACCCCTTGCAGAAGCTGCGTCTCAGACCAGTGCTTTGCTTTCTCTATCAGCTTGTTTTTGATTGCACTGCAGTTTGTTAGAACACCAGGGTCACAACAGACCAGAAGAGAACTTGCTCAACTCTCATTTTAATTTAGACAGCGTCTACTGTTTTTCTTCTCGTCATAAACCGAGAATATCAAAGTGCCTTTCAGTCACTGTGGTAGAAATTTATGTGTCTTCGTGGGGGGCCTGGGGGAGGCTTGCTGTTCCCAAGGGGTTAAATTCCAATAGCTATGGGGGCAGATTTATAATAATCCTCCCAGGTCACAGCAAAGTGAGATACAGCCTAATTGTATTTACTCCAAATGCCTTGGGATTTATAGATAAGAGATACTTATCAAACTGCTATATTTTGTTTGTATACTGTTTTCTCCAAGCATTCAAAATGGTATTACAAGTAGAGTCCTTTGGGGAAGATAATGTTATCACTAATGATAATCACTAATGATAACCTATATTTTCATAGCACTGGATGGGTTTCAAAACATTTTTACTTATTTTTATTTATCTTAATGACCCTATGAGATAGGGGCTATAAATCCCATTGTACAGATAAGAATAATGATGCCCAGAGACGTTAAATTACTTGCCCAGAGCCTTGGGTATCAGGTAAGTAGGAAAACTGAGGAAAGCAGCTGTATCTTCTGGCTCCTGGTGTCATACTCGTTTCATTAAATCATTTCCTCTTCATTCTTAAGTCTGCATACAGCTCACTGGCAGGACTAGAGAGTTTTAGCTTTTAGTTGAGCTTAATAAATACTGCTACACAAATCCTTAATTACAAAACAGGTGGTGGTCTGTGTTTCTCACTTATTTTGTGCCAACTCTGCCTGTTAGTCTGAGGGGCAGGCATTCAGAATCTGGAGTCACCTCGGGCACATGCTGTACTCTGCTGAAGATCTTATTGTTCATGTATTCATTCTACAGACATCTGTCTTCTGCGTGTGCTGATCTAATCATCAGGGGTAACACAAGGATGATTTCAACATGGATTTTGCCCTGAAGTTTATAACTTCACAGAGAAGGTCAGACATATACACACACAGCTATAATACAAAGGGAGAAGTAAAAAATGAAGTGTAGATACAGACTTATAGAAGCTTTGAGAAAGGAACTTTATGACATAAGTTTTGCTGACTTGAAAAGTGCCACTAAACTCCATGCTTGGTTTTTGGTTTATTATTTAATGCTGTGTTTCTTAACAAACTAGAATACAGAGAACTTCTGTGGTATTCAGCAGTGAAACTCTAAAGCATCTGTGTTGTAGGAATTTCCTCGAAATTTCTTTGAAACATACTGAAACCAAGTGTGCACACTCTCGCCTCTATTTCCTGTTGTCATCGTATGCCCCATCTTACGGGAAACCATACTTATTGGTGTTGCATTTCAAAGAAAATTTGGTTAACTTTTTCAGCTTTTAAAGAGATGCAGAGTGGCCTTAAATTTTAATGAAACTGTTTTACAAAAGCCTATAAAAGTCAAAGATTTCTGGGTCAAATGGTTACATGTAAATAGCACCCCACAGTAGCACACTTATTCAATCACTAAAATGGTCTTTCGAGGCCAATCAAGTAAAATAGTAGTCTTGATTATTGCAGAAATTAATTATACATATGCTTTGTCTTTATCTTTAAAAAAATTTTTTTTTCAAGAGAAGGTCTTCCTCTGTTGCCCAGGCTGGAGTGCAGTGACAAGATGATCATAGCTCACTGCAACCTCCAACTCCTGGCTTCAAGCAATCCTCCTGTCCCTGCCTTCTGAGTAGCGGGGACTACTGGAACTAGCCACCACACCTAGCCATATTAAAATTTTAAATGCTGATAAAACTAGAAGTTTATGTCCCCTGCTAATCGATATTGTAGAATATTTTTAAAGAGAGGGACAGCTGGCCAGGCGTGGTGGCTCACGCCTGTAATCCTAGCACTCTGGGAGGCCGAGGCAGGAGGATCGTTTGAGCTCAGGAGTTCGAGGCCAGCCTGAGGAAGAGCGAGACTGCATCTCTACTAAAAAATAGAAATTAGCTGGACAACTAAAAATATATATAGAAAAAATTAGCCGGGCATGGCGGCACATGCCTGTAGTCCCAGCTACTCGGGAGGCTGAGGCAGGAGGATTGCTTGAGCCCAGATTTTGAAGTTGCTGTGAGCTAGGCTGACACCACGGCACTATAGCCTGGGCAACAGAGTGAGTCTCTGTCTCAAAAAAAAAAAAAGAAAAAGAGAGAGGGACAGTAAATGGTTAACCTGGGCACTTAATAGAAGTAATAAGTACCAGTGGGTCACATTTACACTTTACAAAAGTTACTTCACCTTAAGTTGTTGTCTCCCAGCCCGGACCACCCTCTGCGCTGTGATGCTGGGCTGGGACTCTGCAGCCGCCCGTCTCCATTGCTCACTGCGCCCTGCCAGGTGCTGCCAACGGGGGGCGCTAGAGGGCCCCAGGGCTGGAAGAGAAGGGCTCGCTGCTTTCTGCATCTGGCAGTGCTTCTTCACCAACAGCTGCAGTTTGTTACCGTCTCCAGTTGTTTACATTTGTTTGTTTGTGTCCCTTCCCACAAACTGTACGACCACCTCAGCCAGCTTCAGAGGGCCCCTCTGGGTGGCCAGGATCTGAGAATCCAGCCTCTGCCCTTCGTTCCCTCAGCCTGGGGGTTAGCTGCCTCCTGCAGCCTCTGTCAGCTCGGTGTCCCCTTCCCACGCCTTAGTTCTCTGATACCCGTTTAACCAGTTCCCTATATAAAATTCTCTATAAAAATAACTGGTGTGGTACTTGTTTTCCCGAGTGGGCCTTGATTAATACAACCTTTAATCTCACAAATTATGAAGTAGCTGTTATTAAGCATATTTTATTAGTAAGGAAATCGAAGCTGAGTAGGGCAAAGCAGTTTGTCTAACATCACACAACCAGCATTACCAGAGCTTAGACCTACACTTTCTGCTTATAGATCCTGTGCTTTTTCCACTTCATTTCCATGTTTCTCTTGCTGAACTTACTTTTTTAAAAATAATTTTACACTTACAGAAGAATTGAGTTTCCGTATACCCTTCACCTATCTTCCCCTAAGGTTAACTAACATCTTACATAACCACAACACATTTATCCAAACTAAAAATTAACACGGTATATTGCTATTTTTAAAACTGCAGACTTTATTAAGATTTTACCAGTTTTTCCACTAATGTCCTTTTTTAGTTCCAGGGTCTAATCCAGGTGCCACATTACCTTTGCTTGTCATGCCTCCTTCATCTCCTCTATTGTGTGGATGGTTTTCCAGTTTTTCCTTTGTTTTTTTTTTTTTTCCTTGTTTTTCATGACCTGAACAATTTTGGGATGTACTGGTTAGGTATTTTTTAGAACTTCCCTTGGTTTGGGTTTGTTTAATTTTTTCTTCTGAAACTTCACAAGACCAGCATTATGGATTTTGGGGAAGAGTACCACAGTTGTAAGTGCCCTTCTCATTGCATCATATTGGAGGCAAATATATCACATGACTTATTACTGCTGATGTCAACCTTGAGTACTTGGTCAGGGTGGTGCAGGCTAATCCACTATAAATCTTCTCCTTTCCATAATTTATTTGTTAGAAGCCAGTCACTAAATCCTCTTGCTGAACTTTTGACTTCCCACGTAATTATGGAGCTGTGCTTTCTTTACAGATTATTAACCGGCATAAAAGAATCTTTGTATTTATGGCCAGCCTGAGAATTATAAACTTGGAAACCAGACTAATGATATTAGGAGATACTAGCATGTATTGCTTTTAGGGGAATTATCCATTGCACCATCTTTGCTTTGTACCTTGTTTAAACTTGGGACTTGGCTATTTTTAGTTTCAGAAAGCTTGTGGTTAATGCTAAGACATCTAGTTATTCTTGATGGACTGTAATCACCTATGACAAGGCCTGAAAGGTGATAAGAAGCCCAGGGTCTTAATGTCATGTAGGCATTCAGTAAAAAGGGGAAGTCCCATAGAGAAGAGGTTGCAGAGACTAGGGAAATTGGAGATGTTAAAGGATGTGGCTCAAGGAGTGGAGATTTACAAGGGTAGACTGCAAGGGTTGATGGGTGATGGCATGGCGAGATGCAGAGATCTCAGGTAGGAGGCCATGGAACACAGGATTAGAGGGAAGCCGGTAACATAACTCACCCTTGGAGTTGGACTCTGAGCATAATACAGTGTGGGTATTTGTATTTTGTCTCTGAAGTTCATCATCTAGAACTTATAGTTCTAACCACTAGATTTCATTATATACAGTATTTGAATGAGCTTAGACTTTCATAAAAGCCAAAGAAAATAGTTCAATTGGTTTATATAACCTTGGCTACACACT